CCTATAAGGTTGAGATGGCATTTTGATATCCAATAATAATAATAATAATAATAATAATAATAATAATAAGTTTTACATATAAAACACTGGCATTTAGGAATATAGTGCTTACTATAGATGTAAATTTGAGAGTTGTCAGCACACATAATATTTAAAGCTACAGAATTGCACAAGATCACCAAGAAAATGAATTTAGACTGAAAAGAGAAGAGGTTTAAGGATTGAGTCCATGGGTACTTCAGTGTTGAGATGTCAGCAAGATGAGGAGGATGCATCAAAGATTAGATGGAGCAGCTAATGAGACAGGAAGAAGACTGGGAGGGTAGTCTTGGAAGACAAGTGAATAAAGTATTTCAGCAAAGAGAAAAGTGATTCACTGTATCATATGCTGCTCATGGCATAATACAAGTAAGGTGACTTTTGAATTTAACAGTGCAGTGTGCCGAGCCGGCATGGCCATAGGTGAACCTGAGCTCAGGTCCTTGTTCCCCATACTCAAGCCCCACGTTGGGCACCATATGTGCTGAGCCAGCACAGCCAGGTTCGGTGAGCCTGAGAGGGGGTGGTGAAAGATTGAGAAAAGACAGACAAAAGAAGAATGCTGGGCCTGGGTGGGGCACTGTCCTCTCTGATGGAGAGCTAGTGACAGCACCACGGCCTGTAACTGAGTCTTTATTTTATAGCCAGATTCTACCAGGCAAAGTAAGGGCATGGTCAGGATGTTGACCATGTTCTTGTGGGTTTCAAATCTACTCAATTACATGCACCTGATCAAGCTTTGTTTACTTGCTGCACCTCTCGCAGCCCATATCACTTAGCCACATGGGGCTACAGCAGGGGTGGGCAAACTTTTTGACTCGAGGGCCACAATGGGTTCTTAAACTGGACCGGAGGGCCAGAACAAAAGCATGGATGGAGTGTTTGTGTGAACTAATATAAATTAAAAGTAAACATCATTACATAAAAGGGTACAGTCTTTTTTTTTTTTTAGTTTTATTCATTTCAAACAGGCCGGATCCGGCCCGCGGGCCGTAGTTTGCCCACGGCTGGGCTACAGGTTCGGACCATAAGGTCAAGCTTACAACTATAGCCTTTGGCTATAATTGTGCTGGGACTTGCACGTGGCTTTGCCACGAGAGGATTGTGTCCTTTCATTAGTCCCAGGCTTGAACCTGTCCAGTCACTGTAGCTGCTCTCCACAGTGTGATCGTTGGCAGTGTGACCTCTTCAAGCTCTGTCTCAATGGAGTATTGGGAGTGATAAAAGTGGCTTTAAGAAAGAATTGAGTAGAAGAAATGGAGAGAATGAATATATACAGTCTTTTAAAGAGTTATGCTTAAAAGGGGATTAGAGAAACAGAGTAGTAGCTGAAAGGGGATGTCAGTCAAGAAACAGTGTTTGGGTTTTTTGTTTGTTTGTTTTAAAGCAGGGGAGACTATGTATGGCATGTTTACGTGCTCATAGGAATGATCCAGGGAAGGTGGAAAATTGATAATGTGGGGAGATACAGCTGCTGGAAAGAGGTCCCTAGAACAAGAGCAGATAGATTCAGCGCACAAGCACATTGGATTATGAATTGATCCCAAATACAGGAAGGCATGAAGAGAATTAGGGGCATAGACAGGTAGCAGATAATGTGATGACGGGAGCTTGTGAAAAGTTCCTTCTGATTACTTCTAATTTTCCCATGAAATGGAAAGCTAAATCAACTGAGGGTAGGGATGGGGAGGAGAAGTTAAGAAGGTATGAAACCATTATCTAGCAGAGTAGAAGAAAGAGTGCAAAATGATGGATGAACCGCACCAGAGGTCAAGGTCAAGTTCATGGTCATGAACTTAGAGACTAGTAAGCATGGCAGTGTGCTTTCCCAGCCAATTTCCGCTGAGTGGTGTAGTCACAGAGTTGCCAGAGAGTGAAAGTTTTCCCAGGTAATAATGTAGAAAGTATCTGTGTGATAGAGAGACTAATTGCAGCACTTATATTGGGTGAAGAATAAGTAAATATCAAATAGTAATAAGTATGGTGAGGACACAATGGGAGGGAGGGACAATGAGCATTGATTAAAGATTCAAGAAATTGTTGATCTTTGAGGGGTGGGAGAATTGTTGAACTGGGGAGTAGAGGAAGAAACTGGAAAGATGCGGTGGTCAGAGAGTGGGATGTTTAAAATTGAGGTCAAGGAGAGGTTGTAGTTGGAAATGACAAGGTCTGCCGTATGACATGAGAGTGAGCAACTGATACAGGCAGGGGGTCAGACCATCAGAGTGTAGAGAAGTTCAAGAAACTGAGACAGCAATGTGTCAGAATGATCATCTGTGTGGAGAGTAAGTCATCAAGAATTAGGCAGGGGTAATGTTGGAGAGAGGGCCACAGTGAACCAAGACCTGACATCTGTAAGGAATGAGGGGCGATGGCCAGGCAGAAAGTAGATAGGTCAGTGGGTGACATCGTCTAGTATCACTCAACCACCCAAGCTTTTGAATATCATATGCATCTTGCTCCAGAAAATAAGCTGTACAGGTGTTTTATTTGTCTGTTGACTTGTTTTTAGTGACCCATTACCAACTTAATGTCCAAATACTGTTCAATATGTGAAACACACTTAAAAGAATTTGATTCTGATTCAAATTGCTCAGTATCTTTCTGGTGTGTGAGCTTGCCTTTCTTGCCCCATGCTCAACATTCAGGAGAGCATTCATGACATAGGGAGCGCTCGCCTCCTGGCTGTGGGATTTGGGTGGCCTTGGACAAGCAACTTAAACTCCCCGAAACTTAATTGGTTACTTCATCTGTGAAAGAGGGCTTATTGTGAAGGCTAATTGTGAAGATTAAAGAAGATAACGTGAAAGCATTTAAGCATGGTCCCCAGCATAGGAGCTTAATTCACATTTTATTTAGCAGAGCTAAAATTTGATATTTTGAGTTAAAAACACTGCAAAAAAAATGACCACCTAGTCTTGGTGAAAAGAAAATGTCCTTTGTGAAAATGAAGTGTGCTGTCCACTAGCTCATGTATTGTATGTAATGTGTTTACAGATTAGCCCACCAAATTGGGAATTCTGTAAAATGGGTTTACTGTTGCAGTGAAAGATTTTTCTACACACTCATTATGTGATTAAGGCAAAATTATTTGTATTGCAATTATCCAAATTCAGTAAAATGTTTAATGAGGCATTCACTGCCTTGGGCAGGTTGGCATAACAGTATATTAGTGTTTATTTGCCCAAAACTTAGGAAGCAGAAGTGTACTGTTTTCAGAATGTGGTTCTTTAAGAAGGAAATCAGTATTTTATGAGATGTTTCTAAACATAGATTTAGATTTCTCTATCATCTTCTCCTTCGGGCATTTAAAAATTCACCATGAGCATCACAGAGAGTGGATCAATAACAGGTGCTTAGTGTCAGCGGGATAACAACAGGATCGATAGGAATTGGGAATTTTTATGATACAGAAGCATGGTGCCTTGTATATCTATAAAGGAAAGAGTGATGGAATCTAAGTCAGGCGACCTCAGTTCATAGGACTCTGCTGGTAGGCCTTGTTTTCTCCATCTGAAAAGTGAGCATAATAGTACCTCATGGGGCTGCCATGGTAATTGAATGAGGCAATAGATGAGAACAGATATTATATATATTATGCTAGTCAATGGTGAGGGATCATTATGATGCCTTCTAGGGAATGAAAGAGTTTGTTAAAGATAACATCATCAGATATCTCACAGAGTGATTCTAGGCCATTTTCATCATTTCTCCTCTGCTAGGATGGAAGGTACGCAGGCCTTTTTGAGAAAATTATGCTCCTCTGGACATGTTGAAGAATAGCTGGGAACCAAGCTAATTCATTGATTCAGGGTACTTTCCGTTGAGACTGAGGTGGACAGAAAGCTTCAATGATAATGTGGAGGGTCAATAAGAATCATTTAAGTGATGGACTGACCTGAAGCCATGAGTATTAGAAGGTGAAAGGACCTTCCACGACTCCCCTGACCCCAGCTTTTATAAATATATGGAAACTGAGGCTCAGAAAGGATAGTTACAGTAACATTTTGAAATAAATTTAAATTATAATCACTGCACATTAAGATTGTGAAAACTTGGTGACTGTTGCATCCATGAGAATGATGTTTCAGCCGTAGCCTCTGAACGAGGTTAATCCTTTTGACCTTTTATAGTGACTCAAGGACAATTGAGACAGAGAGCCATGTCTCCCTGCAGACTGAGCTTCCTAAAGGGTCTGGTTGTTTATTTTAACTAGAGGAACATCGTGATGGAATGACCTGTTGTGACCAGGTCTTGGCCCCTGCTGGGTTCTAGGATGAGGCAGTCAATGTGTGTCATTCTGTTAAGTGGCAGAACTCTCGCTGCTCTTCACTTCTGACTCCTCCAACCCAGCTCCAGCCCAGGGCCTCTGGAATAATGACATCCAAGATCCTTCCTCAATTAGGAAAATAGAAGCTCCTTGAAAGAGTTTCCCTATAAGTTCTGCCACAGAAGTAAATAAACATTTGCATGGATACTAAATCTATGCTTTGTTAAATCTGACTCTTTGGGACCCACCAGATCCTTTTTCATCTTGATCTTTCCTCTGTACAGTTCTCAACTCCACTTAACAGTGTCATTATAATATGTCTCATGTCACCAGTCTACTTTTCTTAATGTTCTGAGAGAATCTTAAACAACAACCTCACATGTAACTTTATGGAATTGTTCCAGCTGTTACCCAAGCTTTGCCAAATTTGTGATGTTATAAGTACCCTGCTTTTATGTAGCAAAAACATCAATAAATCGCTCCATTGTATTGCTTAACCCCCAACCATTGCATCAGAGAGATTCACAGGACTCCTCCAGGGAACACCTTTGTCACATTTTGTCATTTGCTTAGAATGTCAAACAGGGCCCTCTTTTGGCACACATGGGGGATGACTCTCAATGCCACACAGAAGAGCATATATATAAAAATATTTCCCCCTGTTTTATTTTACTTTTCTGAATCTATACAGGCAACAGCCTCAGATTCCAATCACCACAGGAACAGGTGTTGTGTATCCTGGTGCTATTACTATGGCAACGACCACACCATCACCTCAGATGACATCTGACTGCTCTAGCACCTCTGCCAGCCCAGAGCCCAGCCTCCCGGTCATCCAGAGCACTTATGGCATGAAGACAGATGGCGGAAGCCTAGCTGGAAATGAAATGATTAATGGAGAGGATGAAATGGAAATGTATGACGACTATGAAGATGATCCCAAATCAGACTATAGCAGCGAAAATGAAGCCCCAGAAGCTGTCAGTGCCAACTGAGGAGTATTTGTTTGCTGAATTAAAATACTCTGACATTTCATCTCCCCTTCCCCAACAAAAAGTTCTTAAAGAGCCCGCATGCATTTGTGGCTCTACAATTACATCAGCAGAATGGTCTTAATTATTTTGTAAAGTGTGAGACAGATTAAGTTTTCCCTGATTTTTCATGAACTTGAGTTTTTTGTCGTTATTGTTATTGTTGTTGTTGTTTTTTAAATTTAGGTGAAGACATATTAAATATGAGACACCAGGACTTGAAAACTTATCTCAACCCATAGCTGTCTTACAAGTCTTATATTTTTGTCTTACTTTTTTTTCTTTTGGATGTTGATAAAGGTTTAAGTTACTGTTTTAGATGGGGTTAAACATTCTCACTCAGGTATGCTGTGCCGGCCTACAGGTTGTGAATGTGTTTTTATTCTGAATTACTTTAGAAAATAACTGAGGATTTCATTTTGTGAAACAGAACAAGTCCACGGCGTGTGCAGCTGCATGTAGAGCATATTCAAAAGGCCTCAGAATTCCATGTGTCCATGTGTAGAGTTAAACTTTGAATGTGCCAAACTTTTTCATCACTTTTGAATCTTAATATTTTGAAAAGTCTTAAAGGAGACACTGCAAAGTCTTAGACAATCTTTGGCATCTTAAAATAAAATAGCAAACCAGACATTTTTTTTTCCAGAAAAATGGTAAAGTACTCAGGAATCTGGAGACAAGATATTGAAAGGAATGAACAAGGTTGCCACAGTGCATGTACCCAATCGTGTTTGCCTCTTGACGTGCCATCAGTGTGTAACGTGTATATGACGTGTGCACACCAGAGCGATCACCACACCAGATACCGACATGGTGGTCTCCTCTGCCCGAGACCACCTCTCACTACATCCATCATCCCTTTGCCTTTAACCCTGACATTCAGTCTTAACACATTTTTTTCTTAAATAATTTATTCATTCCAGAATGTCAAGGGTCCACTTACTATTTATTTTTTAAAAAATTGTTGGTGGCATTAATTTAATAATTCTTGTTTTTCACCTTCCTTCCCCGAAGAACTTTTCAGCCCTTCCACCTCCTTCTCCTGCTAGATACAAAAGATGTACATAGTGATTCTGTCCCCAGAGCATCTGGAAGCATTTCTGAAACAAGGTACTATCAAATACCTTCGTGTTGTTTTTAAACATGAGTGTGTATCGCGCTGCAGGGCTCTGTATTTGGATACAGGTGCAGAGTCTTACACTTCAACAGCTAGGCCCCTGAGGTTCGCTGTGACCCCGAGTCTCTTGCCAGAATTTCCCCCTAAGTCAGCTCAGCAGCAAGTGGTAGGATCTGCCTTCACGGCATTTGCCCTGAATGTCACTCAGCAGCAAGGGTCAGCAGCAAGCGTCAACGGTGGTGACTCCCAGCAGAGAAGTCCCGCAGCCAAACCTACAGCCCAAGGCTGGGGGCCATGGAGGAGGCCACAGTGATGCTGTCACGGGCTGGCATCTTTACACTGAGTTGCCTTGTCCCATCTGGCCCATTTAGGGAGCTCTTTGCAAAATCCTCCTCTGGCAAAAGAAGCCACAAGACAGCCTATATGAAAAGACAGAGGCGGAGAGTCATGATACATCCAGAGGGTGAAAGAAAACCTTAAGGAAGGAGAAGGAGGGGAAATACATTCTCTACAGGGGATGTTCCCACTGTTAACTCTGGGAAAGATCACTCCTGGGGCAGCAGAGTTCCTCGGGCTCATGTCCTCTGTCTGTGGCCTCCGTGTGAACAAGATTAACTACACTTGTCACACAAGGACTTTTTTGGAGATGTGCTGATGGGCTGGGAGGCAGTGAGGCTGGATTCCCCATCTCCTCCTCACAGGGATCTTGGCCTGATTGCCTATGGGCGAGGGGAGCCATCACTACAGTGGTTCAGTTGGAGAATGTCTGCAGATGGGACAGTTCACCTCACAGGACAATCCAGAATCTGATCACCAGAACATAGGAACAGCCCCATCAGATTTCTTGAGCCATTTTTGTCACTTGGAAGAAAATAGTGTACCTTCATATTTATTTAAAGAGTGCTCAAGGCCATACCTAATAGCAATAACTAGCTCTAGCCACAATATACTGGCTACATCGTTAGCTGGGAGTGCTCTCCATAAGCTGATTAAGGTACTGATAGGAATGTTTTGTTCTTAATATTGGTTGGGGATTGGAACTTTGTTTTTGTACATTTATTTCAAATGAGGAGGAGGTCATTTTTCTTTAAAAAATGAGTATTTATTATTGTCTTACTGATTTCTTTTGAACGTATACCTCTCCTCCTCGTTCATCCTCATGTTTTTTTCTCATCCTCCTTGACTTTGCTTTGCCCTCTCCACTCCTTTTTTATTTTGTTGCATAGGTAGAGTGCTATATGGCTAGCATTGTAATGTATGTAATTAATTTTGCACAGAGGCAAACATTTAGAATAGTAGGTTAATTTTGTTTGTTTTATGACCATGCCAAAATAATATTCTGGGCTGGTGGAGAACAAAGGACTGTTCTTTAGGACTGAAACTTGATTTCGCTTGTAGTAAAACAAAACAAAACAAAACAACAAAAAAACACACACACTCACAGATGTTGTTTCGTAAGTGTTATAAGCACTGGATATAAATGGTATTTTTTATCACTTCTGACTAATGTGAAACTGTTGTACGAAAACTACATGAACAAAAGTCATCTGTTTCGACTCGTGTGGGCTTGCCTCACAGTTGCCGGATTTGAGTCATTTTTATGTCTTGTTATTTCATTTATTTATGCAAAATACATGTGTGTATGAACACTTTGTTTTAGCTCCAGCTCTGCCCCAGCACTGGGGTTCAGTTACTTCTAGTCGTGCTCTCGAAAATGAAAGGCTATTCAGGAATGATCTGATTGTAAACGCCCTTGCATTGGGTCAAACAGTGATGCTGTATTTGAATCTAAATTCTGCGCATAAGCAGTTTATTCTATTTATTAGCCAAGTCTGGCTCTAATAATCCTTAGAAATTAAGAATGACAATCATAGGGATCACTTCATTTTCTTTGCAGTGGGGCTTAAACAAAGTTTTTTATGACTTTACCATCTCATTTTAGATTTTTTTTCTAATTGTGTAAATATAACATAGAAATAGAATTTATTTTTGGTTCATGAATACTTAGTGAGATATAAGTTATGTATTTCCTTTTTGTTCTCTATCCTTGTGTGTTGGTCCAGACTAGAAGTTGAGGAGTCACTGCACCGTGTGGGGGTAGTGGATTACCAGCCACCATGAGAGTGCAGAGTCCCACTGGCGCTGGGGCAAGACAGCCCCTCACTTGGGCCTCATGCAGTTAGAACCCACTGTCCGCAGACTCAGACTTTGGCTTTTTTTCTCATAGAAAGTCGATGAATGGAGCGTACCACATGTCCAGGGCAGCTCGGGGAGAGTCTGTTTGCTTTGTGAATCCACATCAATTGAGTAAGGTAACTCTGTGACCATTTATAGCAAGAAGCGTGAATGATGTTATAAAAGCAAAAATCTGCCCCTGAGATTGGTCATGAACTAAAGTCCCACCATGCCAATTAAAGGAAATATTATTAATAAACTCTTTTCAGTGCTTTTTATTTCATAGTGTATTCAAATCAGAGATAAAAATTATCTCCATTTTGGTAAAGAATTTACAGGATTAGGATTTTCCATGTCACTCAGAATAGGGACACTGGCAGACAATCCTAGCCTAAAATTGGACCATAAAAAATAGGAAGGAAGGAAAGAGAAAAAAAGAAGGAAAGAAAGAAAGAAAGAAAGAAAGAAAGAAAGAAAGAAAGAAAGAAAGAAAGAAAGGAAGGAAGGAAGGAAGGAAGGAAGGAAGGAAGGAAGGAAGGAAGGAAGGAAGAAAAAGAGAACAAGCTAATCTGTGGACAGGAGCAGCAGGCAGGCAGTTTCTCTGTTTCACTGGCAGATGTGATGCAGTATCTTTTCCAGAAGGTATGAGAGCTTTGTTGTTTTCACATGTACCCAGCTCAACCTTTTAGGAGCGCATCAGTTTGCTTCATTTGGTATTTGATACTCCCCAGCCTTGTCCTCAGGCCTGATTCTGTTTGCCAGGGTCCTGACACCGACTCAAAGGCCAAGTTCTAAATTCAGGTGTGGGCTCAGTGCTATTGAGCTTGTCAAAGCCTGGCCTCCCCTGAACATTGGCCCCACTGGAGCCTGGGTGTTTGAAAAGGGTGTGATCACCCCAGGGCTGAAATTAAAGGCTTCTTTCTTTTCCTCATGAAGCCCTGCCGATTCTTCTTCGGAGCACACCCTCCAGAGCCAGGAGCACAGGCACTAGCTGAAAGCAGGGACTGTTTCGAGGAAGTCCATCTGCCCCCAGTAGGAAGGGAACCTGGTCACTTGAACACCACAGCCCAGGCTGCTTATCTCAATTTACTGATGTTGCAAAGAGGTGACCTCTACTGACTCATTAGGGAAAGGAAAAAGAATCACTTAGTAGTTTTAAATCATACAAGAAGCCCTGTACCAAGTGCCAACAACTGCAAACAGTGCAGCTAGATGAATGTATTGGAATTATTTCTGGGTCTTCCTTTTTGATGAGAAAATAACAGAGTGGTTGCTGTAGCTTTGCCTGATTCTGTACACGTTTGTCTAAGGACTGAGTCGGCACTTAAGCTCACTTCTCAAAGTATAATATTGTATGACCTCATTTGTCCTTTTACAAAAGCACTTGCATCGTTTCCTTCAGTCATCTGGCCCCTCCCCCACCGACGTGTTTTCTTCCTTAATAAACAACTTCTATCTGTTATTCATGCCGATTATGTTCTCTTTCCGATGCCCTATACTATTACTGAGCATAACCCTCTGCTGATATCATTGAAAATATTGATATGCAAACACATTTCCTTTTCATCCCCATCCCATCTTTTCCTTTGGGGACAGATTGCTTTCCCAAAGCTCATGAACAAGTATTAGAAGTGCTGGTACCTTCGGGGTGGGGCTAGAGGTGGGGGGGCGGGGGCGGAGGGGCAGAGGGGTAACAGTGCAGGTCCTCTTCTCATTGGTGTCCGTGGCAATATGAAAGCTTGACGGCAACTCAGTGACATATCTTGCTCAGCAGTTTCTTATTCCTGAAGAACCACAAGCATAAAGTGAGGCCTCAACGCTGGTGCTCTTGGAATATGGGGAATGTGCAAATATTTAACTGTTGTGTATGCTGCACATTGCAGGTCTGCTCGTGTGCATTCTCCGTTCGTCTTCCTTTGTCATATGTGTTTTTTGCTTTTTGGAAAGTGCAGTCTTTATTGTAACCTTCTCCAGCGTGTAGCAAATTAGAATGCTTAGCATTTATGTTTATGCATTATTGTATTTGCCATGTAAAATTTTTATTACCATAGACAAGCTTATAAGCTGTTACTACATAACTTATCTGACTGTAACTCTTTTATTTCCCGACATTGTAATTTGTTTGTGATGTATATTGTGAGATTGTATTTTATGTTAATTTAATCAGCACAATTCACTGACATGCTGGACTGACATGCTGGCTGCTGTTTCAAAGTGTAAAGTGTGTGTAGGGCTGTTGGGACAACTGCAACTCTGTTGTCAAGGTACTGTGCTTTGGTTCCTGTAGCAACACTGCGGGTGTGGCCCTGGAAACGCCAACGGCACATAACACACCCTTGAGCAAATCTTAACTGCAGATTTTCTTTGTAGAAATTCTATGTATAACGCAGGTACCTACTTGGCCCATGGCTGGTAACTATTTGGGCAATTAGAAAAAACAAAAACCATAAAAACTAGTGTCTATTGCTGCTTTGAATATGTTTGAAAGTCTGAAAATGTAAATAGTTTATCAAAAAAAAAAATCTTGTACAGTCCAGTGTAAAGTTTTTAAATGACCTTAAGGGTTGCCATCACATCTTTCTCACACTCTCCTCTTGATAATGGGAAAAAAAGTTTGCTAAGGATTAAAGAAATGGGGGGAAAAATAGAATCTCTTCAAATTTAAAGGAATGAATCATTGTTCTTAGCTTTGTTGCATACACAGACTTCTTGGATTTTGCTGTGCAGTATTGATGTGAGACAAAACTCAACATTGAATAATCTTTCAGTGGTACTTTTCCAAGTCTCTCTCCCCACCCCCTGCCTCATAATTAAGGGAAAAGACAAAATGGAAAGACACGCTGTCTTTCTCTATCCTGGTGTATGTTGGCACCTTAGCTACTTTTTTTTCCCCCTTTTTGCACAAGGTGCTTTCCTGATATGTTAACCATGCCATCTTTGGGTGATAATGTACATGCCATGATGGGGCCCAGGCCCCTCAGGGGAGTGTCTATACGAACTGCCTATTTATGCTCATTTACCTCAAGACTGTCCTCTCTACCCTTAATCTAGTCGTCATCACTCCATCTTTTGTACTGCTGTTGACACTTACAAATTAAAGATAAATTTTGTTTTATGACCTCTGTGTATGGCCTTGTCTATGCCCTGCAGACTGTTGCGCCCTGGAGCCCCGTAGGCCATAGGTTCTTTGCTTGCTGCTGAAGCCAGCAGAGCCCCTGCCTGCCACTCACGCTGCTGCCTGGCTGGGAGGTCGGTCTCTCGGGAGCCTTCACCACCCCCCACCCCCACCCCAACCCCCAGCCTGGGAAGCCTTGCCTGCTCTCTTCCTTGTGAGCACGCGCTGCTGCAGCAAGAAATGCTTGTGGATTTAGGTGGTAGGAACAGGAGCCAAAGTGGATTTTTGTCAAGAGAAGATGAGAAAGAATCACTTCCTATTTGCCTGACTCCTCCAGGAGAGTGAAGGTTTATCAAAGCTCCGAGCATCCTGGGGTATGAATGAATCTCATCTGACAGCAACTTCTACAAGCCTAGCAGCCACACTTCTGGAACCTTCCCCTCCACTGTGGCTGGGAGTGGAAGGACTGACATGCTGGCTGACTTCACGGTTGCTTCTGCCTCAGGGAAGGAGAGCTCCCATCTCATTGTCCAGGCAGAAGGTGGATCTGGAGCGAAGTGATATCAGCTTTTAAGAGTCTGAGGGATGGAGGTGGGGAGTGGGCTGAAGGGAGCTTGCAGCCCAGCCCAGCCAGCACCACGGATCCCAGAGGTTAGCGACCAGCACCTGAGAGTGAAACAAAATGCTCAAGAGGGAGAGAGGGGAAGACACAGTCCATCTTCTTGGTATTTCCTATGAAAAACGCCTCATTAGAGAAAAGCCAAGGATTGGTGGAACTTTAGCAGCCAAATTGTAAGTTTGACACAAGCTGGCATAGTCGTGGAAACCTAGCATCCCAGGGTCCTCCCTGCGCCCCATGGGCTTTTGAAGGCCCAGGTAAGTAGAGGGTATGGCTGTGGAGCCACAGCAACCCAGCCCTGCCACTTGCCAGCTGTGTGACTTCCCAGGTAACTCCTCTGTGGAATGGGGTCATGATCCCTACTTCTCAGGGTTTTGGGGGGGTCCCATGAAATGGCCCAAGTGAATTGTCCGGCAGCATCCTGCACACGCAGCGCAGGAAGAAAGCTGCCTCTGATCGAGAGGCTGAGCTGGGGAACCATCTGCCGGGGTCCAACCCCAGCAGGTCCAGGGGTCCCCAAAGGTGTGGACGGAGTCGGTGAAGAAGGAATGACACAGAGACAGTGTTCAGTTGATCAGCAGCCTAGCCAGGATCTCCAGCCAGGATCTCCAGCCAAGTTCTGGTCTGGATCTCCAGAGAGGTTCTGCTTAGGATCTCCAGCCAGGTTCTGTGTCCATGTTCTCTTGCTAGGTTCTCCAGGTTCTCCAGCCAGGTTCTGTAGCCATGTTCCCTTGCTAGGTTCTCCAGCCAGGTTCTGTCCAGGTTCTCCAGCCAGGTTCAGTCACCAGGTTCTAGTCAGGTTCTCTTGCCAATTTCTGTAGTCAGGTTCAGTCCAGGATCTTTTGCCATGTTCTCTCCAGCGAAGTTCTTCTGTCTTCCAAGTTCTGTGTAGGTTCTGTCTTCTAAGTTCTGTGTGTAGGTTCTGTCTTCTTAGTTCTGTGTTCTAAGCTCTGTATTCTAAGTTCTGAGTTCTAAGTTCTGTCTTCTTACATCTGTATTTATACCAGTTGATTCCAATCCTATCAATCTCTATTACAAAGGTTAGGGCGTTTCTTATCTCCATTCCAGGGAGTAAAGATTATGTAGCTTAAGCATGATTGTTCGTAGTTAAAGTGATTAATTACCCGCCTGGCACTTAGTTAAGAGGTTTTATTCCTTCCCCAACTTCAGGGGAAAATCCCTACTGGGGATTCAACCTTTCTCGGAGAGGTGACCTTGGTTAAAACACAGCGCCAAGAAGGTGAGCAAACATATTAAGAACAGTATGCCATATATGCCAGGTCCCTTGAAACAGCAAGGATGGACCGGCTCCCGGCAACCATCGCTGTCACCGGCCCAATAAAGCCAGGGGCTTGCTTGATCACAAGTCCCAACCTTCCTCCAAGATGGGCTCCCAGCCATACAGGTTTTCTCATTTCCAGTGTATTCTCATCACTGCCTTTGTTGTTCTTTCTAAAGCACAGATCTGCTCTGTCCTCTCTCCCTCTGTTCCTCTCCTAAAGTCTTCTGGCTGTCCACAGATGTC